AACTAAGGAATCATTCTTGTGAGAAAATCCATGTACAATAGGTATAATAGAGAAGTATGGATGAAGATCAGTGGAGGCAAAAATAAAGTTTGGGAAACAAATCACAAGGCTGGCACAAATGCATGAGATGGTACTAATGGGGGACTCCAAATCATCCAGACACATTCTGAAGTTCTCTCTCCCAAGAGCACAGCAGCCAATAATTTAGTTGCCTTAATAATAACTTCATCCTTCAGAAGGTGGCAGAACCCACAAAAGGAGAATATTTGGGATCTATCACTAACAAAAGACACTATGGTGGAAATTATGGGAACTTTAGAGGGATGCTGACTACTCCATATTCAGAAAAAACACATACATACAGTTATACAGACAGATATGCATACATACATATATATATATACACACACACACACACACACACACACACACATACACATACTTATATGTATACACACACACAGAAAAAACACAAATCTGAGAAGAGTCACATAACCTAGATTTGAGAGAACACACTTCAAAAAGTTCAGAGGAATGATGAGTAGGATCTCAAGGATTTTTACAAGAGAAGTCAGCTCAGGAAGGATGGAAAGCTCTCTCAAAAATGAAATTCTGAAGACACAAAGAGAAACAATTCCAGTGGGGGAATCATAAAAGGGAAGCTGCCTAAACATATGGTAGGGATGTTAACAACAAAAAAAAAAACTTCACAAAAATAACCTAGGTTTTAAAACAAACACACACACACACACACACACACTCTCTCTCCCTCAAAAGCAATGTGACTCTGAGCAGTCACAATTTCTCAATATTCTAGATTTGGCCCATTCCTATTTTTGTATGGCCCACAAGCTAATTACGGTTTCACATTTTTAAAAGCAATAAGACCTTATTTTAAAATGTAAAAGCCATTTTTAGCTCAGGTGCCATAAAAAACACAGGACTATAGTCTGCTGACCTCTCCTCTACACTATGACATCACAACTCCAAGTCCTATCCCAAAATTTAGAACATAGAAGCAACGATAAAAGAAGATGAATAATAAAATAATGGCATGGTTCTGAACAAATAGTGTCAGGAATGCTAAAGCTTTGAATCAGTTGAGGCTAACAAAGAAAGCGAAAGACAACAAAAAGGATTTTTAAAACAATACTAAGAAAAGATGAAGGATCAAAGAAGGGATAAGACTACTGCTTGGGATGATAAAAATTATGAGTGAATGCAGAACTAAATTATTCTGAATTTTGGAGAATTATTTTTGGACTGAAAGAAAAAGAACAAAAAAGGTTAATAAATAGTTGATATCCATTATAAATAGGGTGATCATAAGAGAACACCTCATTGCCTCTGAAGAATGGACAGATGAGACTGCTGAGTCATGATGATTAGTGAGATTCTAAAGATCACAGAACATGAAACGAAGTACCATAGGACTGAAGTACAAGTGTCCTGATTTTCAGAAGAGGGAAAATTATAGAGTTTGCAAACTATAGAGCCTAATTTCAATTACTAATAAAATTCTAGATCACAGTGTTAGAGTGACGGTGACTGAATTTATAGAAAAGAAAGTAGTAATCATAACAAGGCAGCATGGCTCCATCAAGAAAAGACCATGTCAGAAGAACTTTATGTCCTTTTTTGATAGGATAATTAAAGTTAGGTATGGGTGATTCTGTAGACCTAGTTTATCTGGATTTTAGCAAATACTCAAGAAAAGCTTTTCATGCTATTCTTGTAGAAAAGATAGATAAATGTGAGATTGAATTATGCTTAGGTAGAGTCAAGACCTGGCTGTATGCTCAGAGTCTATGAGCAGTCAATAACGGTTTAATAACAACTAAAAAAGAGGTCTCCAGTATGGTGTCCCAGGGAACTGTGCTTGAACCTGTGCTATTTAACAAAGGAGCAGAGATTTAGAACTAGAAGGGACCTTAAGTCACCAAGTCTAGACCTATCATTCTACAAATATATGAAGAGGGATTAAATGACTTATCCAAGGTAACAGAGCTAATAAATAGCAAAGTACAGGATCAAATCTCAGAAATGAAAGTTGCCTTTCTGTACTTTAGTATAGCAGTTCTCAAAAGTTTCTGCAGCTCCCTGGGGTTCCTGGGAACTTTCAGAAGCTCTGTGAAGGCAAAACTATTTTTATAATAATACTATGATTTTATTTGCCTTTTTTTACTCTCATTCTCTCACAAGTATACAGGGGGATTTTCCAAAGGCTACATGATCTGAGAAATCTGAGAATTAAAGATTGAGCTGCAAACATTAAGACTGAATAAATATCTCATCTACCGAACTGAACTTTACCTTCCTAATGGATGAATCTACAGACACAGCTGGCCATGCTGCTTTGCTTGTATTCATCAGGTATTAGAACTAACTGATCAAAGATCTTCTTTTACATGAATGCTTGACAACAAACACACGTGGTACTGAAATATTCAAAGTGCCAGTTTTTAAGTGAAACATTCTCAGGTAGAATGTCCTTGATGAAGTAATAAAGATTATTAATTTAATCAAATATCAATCCTGAATAAGAATATTTTTTTTAATAAAACAGGAAGCACTTCTGCTGCTTCCTAAGGTCTGAGGATTCTCAAGGAAAGTATGTAGGTAACTGTTTGGGTTGTGAGCTGAACTGACCACTCTTCATGAACACCATATTTACTTGGAAAAATGACTGACAAACTATAATTATTCATACTTGGAGATTTGGCAGGCATTTTCTTGAAAATGAACAAAGTGAGTTGAAGAAAAAATTGTTACCAATGATAAAATTTGAGCTTCTGAGAGAAAATTAGAGTTTTGGAAAACTTGTATCTGCTACTGTGAGCTTGACAGTTTCCCAATGATTAAAGACTCTTCTGTTAAGATCAATGATGATATTAATGAATCTGATTTATTGATATTATAAAATGAAATGTACCAATACTTTGAAAATCTGCATAATTCAGTGACCCACTATTTTCCAAATGACAATTCATGATGCTACAAAGTCACACTTGATAAAAGATTCACTCAAAGGGCAAAATAGACCAATGGAATTTAATGTAACAGAGCACAAAAAGTTCAGTGATATGGTTTCAGAGTCCACAATGCAACTAACCTTTAAGAAACTACTTGCCAACTTTTGGAGTTCTATCAAAGAAGAATATCCACAATCACCTAAAAGGGAGATTACAATACTCTTCCCTTTTTCCAACTACATATCTATGTGAGGTCAGAATTTTGTTCATATATATCAATCAAAAAACATATCACAACAGACTGAATATAGAATCAAATATAAGAATCCATCTGTCTTCCTTTAAACTGGACATTAATGAGATTCATAAAGATGTGGGGGAAAAAAAGCTATTCTCACTAATTTTTTTGTTTTGTTTTGGAAAAAAGTTATTCTTCATAAGAAAGTTACTTATGTTAATATCTTCTCAAAAAGCAAGTTTGATTATATTACTCTCACCATTCAATAAACTCCAGTGACTCCTTATTGCCTCTAAGATCAAATATAAATCCTCTATTTGGTCTTTAAAACCTTTTATAACCTGGCCCATTCCTACTTTTCTAATCCTATTATATGTTACAACTATTCACATATTATGATCAAATGACACTGGGCTCCTTGCTGTCCCTCACACATGACACCTAATATCCCAGCTCTAGGCATTTTTCACTTCATATGTCCTCTAGATATCTGGGATTTTCTCCCTCCACATCTCCTGGCTTTCCCAGCTTCCTTCAAATCTCAGCAAAAATCTCACCTTCTACAAGAAGCCTTTCCCAGTCCTCCTTAAACTTAGTGCCCTCCCTCTGAGATTACTCTCAATTAACCCTGTATATGGTTTGTTTTTACATAGTAATTTGCATATCATTTCCCCCATTAGACTGTGAGCTCCTTGAGAGCAGAGACCAGCTTTTTTTTTTTCACTTTCTTGTATTCCTGGCAGTTAGCACAGTACTAAGAATACACACATCACACAGTAGGCACTTAATAAATGCTAGTTAGGACTAACTCACATAATGAGCCTATTATTGTTATTTTTAAGTGGATAAATAAAAATATTTTTAATTTCTAATATGGCAAACACTGATAGAAAGATTATCAAAATATAAAGGGACCTTGAGAGTAAAAAGTTTGGGAATTGCTGTCTTAGTAGTCTTCCCTACCCACCCAAAAAAAAAAATTAATTTGTTAGCCAATATTTCAGTAATGACCCATCACTTGGTGCCACTTTCAAAGACCAGAGGAGATATAGGTCAGAACAAGAATAACATTTCTTACATTCTTACAAGTCTTTGGTTTTAATACTATCATTATACAGTAGCCAGCTTCACAGATAAATACTTGCCAAAGGCCAATCAAAACTTTAGTTTAAATATTTAACAATATTTAATATACAGTCAAATATTTCATGTATTTGTGTGCCTCAAGTTAAGGGAGACTATCAAAACAAATTTTGTGAAAGAGAATTTTAAAAAAAATTTAACTGCAATGGTTAGTACAAGAGTATGCTATGTAGAAGTTTCAATAAAAATCCTTTTTATTGCTGAAAAAATTCTTAGCAATTACAAAGCTTTCTTCCAAATTTATGAAATTACACTGTAAAAATAACCCTTACATGAGAAAAGATCCCTAACATAGTAACTGCCTCTGAATATACTTGCTAAAAATCCTATTTAAATTTCTGTAATGTCTTAAAGAACAAGGAAATCAGACAAAAAGCACCTAAAGCTACTTTAACATAACAAAAGTGTTTTTAAAGTTTAATAGTGAAGCTATATTAAAACTATAACCAAACCTAAAGTAGGAATTGAACATGCTATCCTACTGTTATCATTTGTATAGCCTTAAAGAGATAAATGCTTCATGGAAAGATCACTTTACAATTTAGTTATTCACAACACAATTAAACTTTATCATGAAGGCAAGAAAATAACTTTGGAACACAACTCAGTACAGAAAAATAAGGGGGAAAAGTATCAAATATACATACTCCCTTTGGAAGACCATGCACATGGGAGAACTGCATCCAAAGACTAGACCTGGTTGGGCATCTGGACTGTAGCCATTTTTAAGTAACATTTCTAGGCAGTCTTCATGACCTTCAAACACTGCTGAGTATACAGGACTCACTTTGTCCAGACCAGTGTCACAAATTCTATCAGTAATTGGTATTAGCAAGTCCAAGATTCTGCAAATATATGAATTCATGCACATTTTAAATCACAAGTAAGGTAAATTGGTATTTTTCTAATGCATATTGCTAGTAGCATCATCCTTCATCCCTCACTGTACACAGTAACTCTGCTACTTAGTAGTCATGTAATATTGGAAAAATCACTTAAAACTCTTTGGTTATTGGGGTAGCTAGGTGGCGCAGTGGATAGAGTACTGGCCCTGAAGTTAGGAGGAACTGAGTTCAAATCCAGCCTCAGACCAAACACTTGACACATACTAGCTGTGTGACCTTGGGCAAGTCACTTAACCCCAATTACCTTTAAAAAAAACCTCTTTCGTTATCTCAGTTTCCTTACTTGTAAAATTACCAAATAATCTCTTAGATTCCCTTCCTGCTCTAATGGTCTAAGGTTCCATTTTATGATGAAGGATAGCCATTTACTCAAAAAGAATATATATCTACTTTACACAAAGGTTCATGTGTATATCTTAAGCCAAATCTAATTAACTATAATTTACTTTTAAGGGCAATATTTTAAATCTTTTTCACTAGCATCTCCTGCTCAAAAGTTAAAAACACATTTTGAATCAAATCTTTGATCTAAAGTTCTAGGAAATAACTTAAAATATCACAACAATAGTTAAGTATTAACATGTTATTAAGTTCAAAACTCCTTTTTACTCTTACAAGTACCAAATAAAGTTGTATTTTTGAATTAGTAAATGTTTTTAAATGAGTGATAAATAGTAAGGGGCAGTTTTTATTTTCATCACAGGAAAATAATTATTGATGAAATGAAATCAATTTATTCTCAGTTCAAAATTTCTGCCCATTTTTATTATTCAAATCGTTCCATCCTATGCAAGGGATATAATCTCTAAGTTCTGGGAAAGTTTAGAAACCAGCCAATGCCTGAGGCAAATATTAATGAAAAACCCTACAGTTTATGGAAATCTAAAATTTTCAATAAACAGCAGGAAGCAAAAAAAAGCTGAGATACAATAAAAGTAAGACACCTCCTCTGAGAGGCAAAACACAAATATGATTTTCTCTTTGTTTCTTCCATGTAAAAAGAGGATGGCAAGAAATACTTGGCAGAACCTGAAATTCAGTGGGAAAACTAATACAAAAACAGGATGTGAAAGATAAAATCTCAGAGAAAAATTATTTCTTAAGCCCAGAATTCATCACTAGAGTTGAGGACAAAAGCCAGGAGAGTTCTGATACTAGTCTAATATTCAAACTGAATTAGAAAAACAAATATATATAAGACATGTTAGAATAAACTAACAAGTAAAAATGAATAAGAATGAAAAATATACAGGGAACTCAATCAAATTTATACAAATAAGAGCCTTTCCCCACTTGATAAATGGTCAAAGGACATAAACAAGCAGTTTTCAGAGGAAGAAATCCAAGCTATCAATAACCATAAGAAAAAAAAAAGACTCTAAATCACTAATAATTAGAGAAATGCAAATTAAAACAATTCTGACATACTCCCTGTAATGTATGACTTGGCTAAGTTGATAAAAATGGAAATGACAGAGGCTGGGAGGCTAGGAGAAAACAGGTTTTTTTAATGTACTGGTAGAGTTACTGGTAGAGCTATGAACTGACCCAACCAATCAATCTGGCAAGCAATTTGGAATTATGTTCAAAGGGTTATTAAAAGGTTATTAAGGGGCAGCTAGGTGGCACAGTGGATAGAGCACCAGCCCTGAAGTCAGGAAGACCTGAGTTCAAATCCAGCCCAGACCAAACACCTGAAGCTTACTAGCTGTGTGACCCTAGGCAAGTCACTTAACCCCAATTGCCTTAAAAAAAAAGTTTATTAAAAGCCTTTGACCCAGCAATATTGCTGCTAGATCTATACCTTAAAGAGCGATCTATATTACATACTGCTAGGTCTCTCCCAAAGAGGAAAAGGACCCATTTGTACAAAAATAGTTATAGCAGCTCTTTTTGTGGTGGCAAAGAATTCAAAGCTGAGGAGATACCCATAAATTAGGGAATGGCTTAACATATGAATATGACAGAATGTTATTGTGCTAAAAGAACTGATGAAAGGAATGGTCTCAGAAAAACCTAGGAAGACTTGTATGAACTAACGCAATGTGAAGTGAGCAGAACTTGCAGAACAATTTATACAATGTCAACAATTGTAAAGATAATCAACTTTGAAAGACTTAGTAATTCTGATTAACACAATGACCAACCACAATTGCAAAGGACTCATGCTATCATGAAACATGCTATCCATCATCTCCAGATGGAAAGCTGATGGGACTCAGAATGAAGACTGAAATATATTTTCTTCTCTTTTTGGACATGGCTAATGTAGAAATCTGTTTTGCATGACTATACATACTTGTAATGGGTTTTGTTTTTCTAGCCTTCTCAAAAGGTAAGAGAAGAAAGGAAAGAATTTGGAACTGAAAATTAAAATAAATTCAATATTTTTAAAAGAATGAGAAATATATCAAATTCAGACTCAGGTTCCTATAAATATAACAGATTATTTTTAAAGTGTGTTCTTGAGTCATATTTAAATATAGTATTGGCTTAATGCAATTTAACTTTTCTAATTTTTTTGTTTTAGAAAAGCATATTAATCTCTTTTTCACAGACAAACATGCTTTCCTGCTCACAATGGCTATTATACAATACTGCTGGCGCCATATATAACCAAATTTTAAGCAGGAAGAGGGAATATGTGGGAGTCCCCAAGAGATGAATCTGCAAAACTGACTATGAAGTGAAAGCTTTAGTATAACTGTATTTAAATTATTACTAACATTAATTATAAAAGACTTTCAATTTTGCAATGATAAATCAAAGGATCTTTGAAATGTGTAATTCAAAATTATTCAGTACTGGAATTTTTGTGATTTTGCAGAAAACCAAAGTCTTTAATTTGTTTCAAGCTAACTACTACTGCCCCATTACTTCACAAACATTTACACATGCTAATACACAATCATACTCTTAGAAGTTTTCCTACTTTGACTATGATCAGAGGGTGCAACATCCTACCAAAATCTTTTCCAACTATAACACTAGATAACCATTGCTAATAAGGTGATCATCCAGGGAAATTGTGTCATATTAAAATATAACAAATCATGACATTACAGTCAAACAATCTATTTTCTGTCTCTCTTTTACTGCTGGAAAAAATGTTCACTCTTTATTAATGTTTAATGATGAGACTTTTTTTTTGAGTACCTACCTTATATGACCCATTTGTGCAGCTGCATGGATAGGTAACTGCCATTTGTCCTCATTACAATAAAGATTGGGATCTGCCCCTTTAGAAAGTAAAAGCTCCACACAGTTTATATGGCCCTCTTGTGCAGCAATGAATAAAGGAGTAGCTTTGTCCATAGCTTGACAATTGACATCAGCACCTGATATAAAAAAATACATTTAATAGGCAATCATTACACAAACAACAAAAAATTACAACCAACATAAATTAAATTAATACTTATGCAGTAGGCACTAAAAAGTTTCATCAAGTGGCACAGCTCTTTTTGCCCATGGGTATTATTGTACAATCATATTTATTTTTCTGACTGATTGATAATCATTTAAATTGCCCTGCAATTTACACATATGTGTTATATATATATATATACGTATACATATATATATATATATATATATATATATATATATATATATATATATATTCTCTCTCTCTCTCTCTCTCTTCTCTCTCTCTCTCTCTCTCTCTCTCTCTCTCTCTCTCTCTCTCACACACACACACACACACACACACACACACACACACCCGGTATATTCGAAAGGCAGGACTTGAACATAGGTCTTCCTGTTTCTAAGACTAGCCTTCTCTCTATGCCAGGCTACCTTACATATGATAAGAAGAGAAACCAGTCAGTAAACATAAACAAAAAGGCCACTATGAAGATCATTCATTGCAGCTTTACCAACATCAACTACAGAAAATGAAGAGGTAGAAAAATGCTAAAAATAACCCAACAAGCTCCTTCAAAACAAGTCAATATAATGAAGGTGCACAAAGGGTTAAATGACAAACTACATATTGGAAAACATAAAACAGATTTGAGAAGTGAAAAAATATAAATGCAACAGATCAAACATTGACAAAGAGTCACAGGACTACTAGGACATAGCCACTGGATAGGATGTCTTTAGCTTAGCTGTTTTTCTTTATTACAAGGAAAGGTTCAACTAGGGGCAGGAACCAGGGAGAGAAGGATAAAATAAGGTTCACCTTAGAACCAAGGCTCTGATTGGTGAGCTTTCACTTTGTCTACTTGCATACCCAGTGCTTAGCATGGTGCCTGGTACATAATGAATTTTTTTTTTTTGGTTAGGCAATGGGGTCAAGTGACTTGCCCAGAGTCACACAGCTAGTTAGCGTTATGTTTCTGAGGCCAGATTTGAACCCAGGTCCTCCCAAATCCAGGGCCGGTGCTCTATCCACTGCGCCACCTAGCTGCCCCATGAATTCGTAATAAATGTTGGGGGTTTTTTTCGTTTTACTTCACAAAAGATATTAATAACGTGTAATTTTAACTGTATAAAAAATTTAAAGGCTGCCAATGAGAAGTGAGACACTTTCAATCTGACCTATTCAAATGAATAGTCAATGTTAAAAGGCGGGAAATGGAAAAAAAGCAAAAGAACTGACCATAATTAGTATCATTTCCTAGTAATATTAGATTTCCTAATAATAATATAAAACAGTCACCACAAAGAAGACACCAAAAAATACGGAGACTTTCTTAGCTAGCACACACTTGATTTCCTTGCCAAGAGGAAGAAGATTCAATGAAGCCAAGGGCAACAATGCTTTAGAATTTTAAAACTTTACAAAACTCTGGAAAAGGTTGACAGAAGATTATGATAAATAATCCAAAGCAGCTTGGTAGGAGTCCCAATTGAGCAATATAATTCCAAGGTATTTATAGATGATACTGGCAAGAGCACAACAAATAAACACAAAATGGCACAATCTATCAACATTTTTTCAACTATTTATTATTATCATCAATACCAGATCAATCAATAACCATTCATGAAGCATCACTGAGTGTAAGGCTCTGTTCTTATCACTGAGGATATAAAGACAAAAATGTGATAATCCCTGGCTTCAATAAATTTCTATTCTATTGTATAATATGCACATGAATAAGTATATACAGATTACATACAAAATAATTTTGGGAGGGAAGGCACTAGGAGCTGGGGCCATCAGGAAAGTCTTCATGTAGAAGCTGAAGTACCAGCTGAATATTAAAAGGGGCAGAAGAATGGAAGAAATACATTCTAGGCAAGAAAGATAAACAGTGCAAAGGCACAGAGATGAAGATTCAGGATCATGGATAAAGAACAGCAGTAAGGCCACTGTGATTGGACTATATCTGAATGAAAGAAGATGTTCTTGTCTGGACTATCTATCTGAAGGAAGGAGTATAATTTTGTCTTCTATTTCATATTTCTATTTTGTCTTCTATATCCAGTGCCTGACACACAGTAGGTGCTTAATAAATATTTGCTGATTGATTGATGAGATTTATAATTGGGCTGGAATTGAGGCCAGGTGGTGAAGGGCTTTAAATGCCAAATAGAGTTTCTATTTCATCCTAGTGGCAACAGGAAGCCAGTGGAGTTTTTTATTGAAGATGACATAGTCAGACTTGCGCTTTAGTAAAAATCTCTTGGGCAGATAAATGGAGGAGGGATGGAGTGGAGGACAGGGGGAAAAGATATTTGAGAAAGGGAGACCAACAAATACATTTGAAAACTAACCCTTCAGTTCCTAATGAGATATTTGAAGTAGAAATGGCACTTAAGAAGATGAAACTGGGAAGAACAGCTAAAACAAGTCAAGTAACAAGAAAATCTATGCTGGAGGTAACAAAATCTTGAAAGCATTTAGGCATTACTATAAAAGATTACTAGGGAAAAGATATTAAAAGAACAGAAAAGTCACCAAAAAAAAAGCAAGAGAAAATCTGAATAACTCCCAGCCAGTATAATTTGTTGTTATTCAGTCATTCAGTCATGTCCAACTCTTTGTGACGCCATTTGAGGTTTTCTTGGCAAGGATACTGGAGTGGTTTGCCATTTACTTCTCCAGCAGATTGGTCACAGGTGAGTGTCTGAGATTGAATTAGAACTCAGAGCCTCCTGATGCCAGGCCCAGCATTCTATTCACTGTGCCATCTGGCTGTAATCCATATTAAAATGATCCACATTTGAATTCAGAGTATCCTAAATGAAAATATGAAAAATGAGCAAGAAGAGCTTCACAAATGATTCCCTACAAGGAGCTAAATTTTTGTTGTCATACTAAAAGGTACAGAGAAGGTTTATTTTATGTTTATAGTTGTTAACTGATTGTTGATTACCTGAGCAAACAAACAAAAAGGTATTTGACTCAACAGAGTAACAGAAATCTCTCTTGCATATGGCAAAAGCATGAGAGATTATTTGATAAGTACAACAGAGATAATTCTGTAAAAAGACACCTGATTATCAATATTAAGCAAAAATATTATTTGTATTTAAAAAATGGAGATATACATTTACCAGAGATGTTTAATACCATTAAAGAGGATGTACTGTGCAAGGTCTAAGGAAAAGAGGAATTCTCTGGGGATAAAGAGGTACTCTAGACATTCTTATTAGCAGAAGAAATTGTGCTGACTTCATCATATCCTTGAGCAGCATGGGGTCACCCTGAGGATATTGACAATTATCCCAAACCAGGAAAAATTAAATGGATGAAAAATGCTTATTGTCCAGACTATGACATGTATTTAGAGGCTAACCCACACAGTTAGCACCTTTACACTTGTGGGACATATAATGAAGGAGGACAATGGATTAGTTCAAGAATTCAATGGGAAGGAAAAAGGCTAGATAGCATCTGGGAAACTTTGTAGTGTTTTTAATTATCACAAGTTGCTTCCTATACAAAGGCCCATCTTTTTAATATAAAAGTTCTCCCAGCAATGCAATATACCCGTGAATCTCAAAACACCAAAATTTTTTTGATTTCAAAATTTCAAGGGATTGAGAAGTAAAGAAGACTGACAGCTATGAGAAAGCTTAAGTATATTTACAAGAAATAGAATAAGGAATATCATTGAGAAAATGAGGTGAGCAAGACATGTGATGAATCCAAGGTTTAGCAAATGAATAGCCCAAATACTGCCCTGATAATCACAAAATGTTGAAAGATATTGAAAGAAGTCCTCTCACAGACTAAATAGTTGCTCTGCATAGACTCTATAGGAGAATAAGGACAAGAATTACACAGGATTAGCAGGCACAGGTAAGTTGAAGTCTGCACTGATGGAAAAAGTAGCCACATAGATGAGATCACAGATCTACTAATCACTAATAATAATCACTAATGATATTTGTTTATATTCTCTTTATTGGTACAGTTAATTGAGCACTAGACCAGAGTCTAGAAGGCCTAGTTCAAATCCATCCTCAGACACTTAGCTATGTAACTCTAGGCAAGTTGCTTAAATTCTGCTTCAGGTTCCTCAGCTGTTAAATGGGGATAATAATAGCATGTACCTACCAAAATTGTAAGAATTAAATGAGATGATATTTGTAAGGTACTTTGAAAACCTTAAAGTGCTATATAAATGCTAGCTTATCTTTGACAGTTTAGGTATCAAAACCATATCTGCCTTGCAGAAAGAGTTAGGTAGAATACTATATATTTTTGAAAACTGTATATAATATAGAGATTATTTTGCTCTTCAAATGTTTAAAGCAATTCATTTGTAATTCCATATAATCCTGCTGCCTTTTTTCACACCACTCAATAATAACCTATTTAGTTTCTCTTTCTAAAATTACTTTACTGGGGCAGCTAGGTGCCACAGTAGATACAGCACTGGCCCTGAAGTCAGGAGGACCTGAGTTCAAATTTGGTCTCAGACTAAACACTTGACACTTACTAGCTGTGTGACCCTGGACAAGTCACTTAACCCCAACTGCCTAAAAAGAAAAAAGAAAAAAATTTATTTTACTTAAGTTACCTATTCTTTTGCTTTCTCAATTTGGACATTGTATATGTTTACAAAAATTAATTACCGGCCTCTTAACTCTATCAAAAAAAAAAAACCCAGAAGTTAGTCTGATATGATCTGTTCTTGACGTTGCTGCTTTGTGAGCATGGCTTCTTTTTCTAGATGCCCTCTAGCCATCCTTTTATTAAAGTCAAGAATTTTGCCAGAAATTAAAGTCAAAATTTCTAATTTTTTATTTAGCTGTTTATTTGATGCATCATTTAGTTGAAGATGTTAACAGTATAACACAAAATGCTCTGCAAACCTTAATGTGCTATATGCTTGGTGGGGAAGTAGACAGAGCAGTAGGTCTAGAGTTACGAAGAACTAAATTGAAAGGTAGACTCAGCCTTAGAACCCACATGATCCTGGACAAGTGACTTTACCTCTGTTTGCCTTAGCTTCCTCATCTGTACAATAGGGATAATGACAGCACCTACCTCCCAAGGTCTTGTGAGGATAAAACAAGAAAATATTTGTAAAGTGTTACATAAATGCTATTATTATTATCAATGTAATAAACATTCATTAAGTATCTATTATTTGCAAGATACTGGCTAAGCAGTGGAGAAACAAAGACAGAAAAGGATATAGTCTCTGCCCTGAAGAAACTTATCATCTACTAGTAGAGTACAAAAGCACATAATTAAATCAAAAGGTAATTTCATGAGAAAATAACATTAACAACTGAAGAGGTACCAGAGAAGGCTCCACAAAAAAGGTGAAATGATGTTTGAAAGGTACTGAAATCCCCTACTCTTAATTTTCTAAGGGTTTTTTTTTTGGAAATAAGTATACTTTTTCTTTATGATTTTATGTTGCCATGTCATTTGATATGTTATCATTTAGTAATAAAACAGTAATAACAACTGATAGTTTAATTACATCATAGTACTTTGAGCTTTGCAAAATTCTGCACATATCATTCTTGTGATCCTCACAACAAACATGAGAGATAGGTACTACAGATATTATTATCCCTATTTTACAAATGAGGACGGTGAGGGTCAAAAAAGTCCTGACTTGCTCATTATAGTTTCCCGTCAATGACACTTTTAAATATAGTATAAATATTCTTAATTAGCTCTCTTTATACTAATTTGAATTCTGCTTTGTCAGTTATGATCACTGTAAGTGGTTTTTTGGAATTGGCTGATCTACACATACCTTTTAGCACTAGATGCATTTCCTGTAAGCAACAAATTGTTGGGTTATTGTTTTTAATCTACTAAATAGCCCTTCTTTCTTTTAAGATGGCAATTCAATCAATTTTGTTAATTGGTTATAATTATTAAACTTCATTTTTATTTATATATCTCTGCCTATGTTATATCCTATTAAGAGACTATAAGCTCCCTGAGGTCAAAGACTCTTTAATTTATATCTTATGTCCCTTAAAAGCTACTCATTTTGTTTTGTTTACAGTAGGCACTTCATAAATGTTCATCAGATTGGGCTGGTTGGATTGTATTTGTCTTCTGCTGTTATACTCCGCTTTATTAAAAGCACATACAAGACCCTCTAAACATAATCCCTATATTTTAGACTATTAAGTATGCATTTTATGGAAATTTAATCCTTTCCCCACTTTCTTCTTTTTCTCTGTTGGAATGGACCTATGATTACATTAGTGTACAAGAGTTTCAGTGAGGAAACTCCCCCTACCAATGCACATAAGCAATTGCTCTGCAATTTACAGCCTTTGAGAATTGTCTAGAACATTGAAATGTTAAATCTATATTATCCCTTCTCTCCCCACTTGCCCACTATATCTTTATTATCCTTACCAAGACAGTGTTTTTGCTCTGATGTTGCTAGTCTCTTTCTCTCTCCACTCTTATATTTGCCCATTATAGTTCCTGCCCCACCCATCCCCCCCAAGCCTTTTCTTTCTGCAATGCTCACAGCCAATTCACTCATTCTTTTGCTCCTTCCTCCCCTACAAGACTAAATATATCATTAATACAATCACAGGATTGAGTGTTCTCTTTTTGTTGTTACCATCCTCATCTCTTCCAGCTGAAGGAACTGAAATCCAATTTACACTACCATCAAAAAGCAATTCTCCAATCTGGCTTAGTAGTGCCTTAGTAGATGAGTCCTGGGAAACTGCCTAAGCTTAAGTGACTTGCTCAGGTACACAAGTAAATATCAGAAGAGGTTTTGAACTTAAACCAAAATCTATCAGTTAGTGACAAAGTAGTATTGTACTTAAGACTTGCTATTTCATCTAACCAGGGCTGTCCCTGGATTATTTTCAGCTTTATTGAGCAGAAATAATTAACCTCCTATCTAAATTAACAGTCTATACACTACTTAGGTTGCATAAATGAGTCTGCCCTGTTGCATATCCCTTTTCTTCTCTGATAAGTGTACCTGAAATGATCCTAAACACTGTGCCTGTGCTGCTAAGTACCACTATTCATCTGGTGGCAGCCCAGGAACTACTCAAGTACAGGGTTACTATAGAAGAAATACAGAAGAAAATGCCTTTAAATAACATGTCCTGTAACATCGACTCTTTTTACATTGATGAAAATGTCATAGAAAGTAAGAAAGCCATTTTCTTATACTTGCCTATGAGATGCTAAAAACCAAGATATAAACATTAAGCCAGCAGGAAAAACTGAAGGTAAGTGGAAGTCAGAGCAACAAATTATGAATTTCAATGTGAGATAGAACACAAGAACCTCATGACCAAGGAACAAAAAAATACAATAATGATAATAAGGGCAATAAAATTAGATAGAATAAGTGGAGCTTCAGAATCTCATACGGGAAATGAAAAGTGCCAAAAAGACATCCTGAATTCTGGAAGAGTCAGGAATAAGGTAGAAGGCAGAATAATGTTGTCATTTGTTTGTTTGTCTCAAGGACAAGATCCCAGGCAGTGAGTGGAAAGGGAAAGGTCCCACAGCAAAAAAGCACCATTCACATTAAAGTTGTGGTTCTGTTGGGGTTTTTTTTTTAAATAAGAACAGACTACAGGACAAAAGTAGCATAAAACAGAAGAAACCTATTGGTTTCAGTTGATGACAGTCACAGAGAAACCTACAATAAGATTATTTTAGATAATTACACAATCCAGTCAAAATAGACAAACCAAAGCACAAAACACAAAATTGTTTCTAAAAATTAAACAAAATGTAAAAATAGTCATCCAGTAGAAGGCCGGGAACACTCATGTTACAGATAGCCCACCACTCAACAGACCAATAATCTTGCTTTAGAAAGAGTTCATGATGCCAGACTCTGATAAATTGGAAGCTTGACATTGCAGAAGGTTAGCAAAACATTGTTAATAAATGGGCCCATAAATCAAATAATCATTACTCTTATGCATCATATGTGCAATCAAAAAACTTTATGATCTAGTTTAGATTTATTTGGTCATATCATTCTAGGAAGAAGAACTAAAGTTAAATTATTTGTGTTTAACCATGCAGAGGCTGAATAGCTGAATCTTACCAGATGAAATAAGTACATTCAAACTTTCCAGCTTTCCATATTGGGCTGCAACAAATAAAGGTGTGATCCCAAAGTCATCCTGGCATTCCTTGTTCGCTCCTTTTTTAAGAAGCAATTTTATTAACTCAGTGTATTCCTGAAGCATAAATTCACAATTAAAATGAGAAAAACAGGGAAGAAAAATATGCTGTCTAATTAAACATTCTAACAGAAACTTAGAGAGATGTAGACTACAAAACGTCAGAATGAATGGAATTTGTAGGGTTAAGTCATCAAATGGGTTAATTTTATCTTTTACCTTAAGTTAGCACAACAAATAAACAGAAACAATATTAGTGTCTTAGAAATGAAGCAAAGTAGGCAAAAATCTCCTGCTGCCTCAGAATATATATTTTCTACCCACTGCTAAAAAGTTTCTCAAACAAAGCTAATTGCCTGCAAATTGACTTCCATCCCAATTTTTGTTGTTGTTGTTGAGGCAATTGGGGTTAAGTGATTTTCCCAGAGTCACACAGCTAGTGAGTGTTATGTTTCTGAGGCCAGATTTGAACTCAAGTCTTCCTGCCTCCAGGGTTGGTGCTCTATCCACTGCACCACCTAGCTGCCCCTCATTCCAAATATTTTGTATGATAACATCTTAAATATGCCATCCAATCTGTCAGATTTATGGAGAACAGAAGAATTTTTGACCAAACAAGAGATAGAAAACATTATGAAATGTGAAATGGATAATTTTGATTATATTAAATTGAACAGGTTTTGCACAAACCAGGCCAACGCAACCAAGATTAGAAAGGAAGCAGAAAATGGGAAAGAATTTTTACAACCAGTGTCTTTGATAAAGGCCTCATTTCTAAAATACAGAGAGAACTGAGTCAAATTTATAAGAATACAAGTCATTTCCCCAATTGATAAATGGTCAAAGAAATGAACAGGCAGTTTTTAGATGAAAAAATCAAAGCTAGCTATAATTATATGAAAAAAATGCTCTAAATAACTATTGATTAGAGAAATGCAAATAATAACAACTCTGAGGTACTACATCACATCTATCAGATTGGGTAGCATGACAAAACAGGAAAATTATACAAGTTGGAAAAGATGTGGGAAAACTGGAACACTAATGCATTGTTGGTGGAGTTGTGAAATGATCCCACCATTCTGGAGGCCAATTTGGACCTATGCTCAAAGGGCTATAAAAATGTGCATGCTCTTTGACCCAGCAATACCACTTATAGGGCTATATCCCAAAAGAGATCATAAAAATGGGAAAAGGACCCACCATGTACAAAAATATTTACAGCAGCTCTTTTTGTGGTGGCAAAGAATTGGAAAGTGAGGGGATGTCCATCAACTGGGGAATGACTGAACAAGTTGTGGTATATGAATGTGATGGAATACTATTGTACTATAAGAAATGATGAGCAGGCAAACTTCAGAAAAACCTGGAAAGACTTTTATGAACTGATGCTGAGTGAAGTGAGCAGAACCAGAACATTGTACATAGTAATAGTCACATTGTGCAGTGACTAACTTTGACAGACTTAGGCTCTTCCCAGCAATGCAAGGATCTAAGACAATTTCAAAAGACTCATAATGGAAAATGCTATCCACATCCAAAGAAAGAACTATGGAGTCTGAATGCAGATCAAAGCATACTATTTGTCCTTTTTTTTGTTTTGTTTTTTTTCTTTCTCATGGTTCCTCCCATTCATTCTAATTCTTCTTTACAACATGACTAATATGAAAATATGTTTAATAAGAATGCATATGTAGAGCCCATGTCAGATTGCACGCTGCCTTGGGGAGGAATGGGGAGAAAAATTTAAAACTCAAAATCTTATGGAAGTAAATGCTGAAAACTAAAATAAATAACTTAATTTTTAAAAATATGCTATCCATACTTTAAATACTGAAATAATCCTTACAAACCAAAACTTCACTTTATCAGTTGGTTTATTCAGAATAATCATTAGCATTTAGACTGCCTTTTCTGTACCAACCTAACCATCATAAATCAGAGGCAAATGAAAAGCAAAAACTGGGCAGAATTGTCATCTTAAAAGGGTAAAATACACACTATACATAGAAATATAATAATAACTTTAAAGGTTACCTGAAAAGCTGCCTGGTGCAGGGCATTCCACCCACACATAGAATGGGATCCATTAACATCTGCTCCATGCCGAAGCAATAGCTTTACCACATCTACATGTCCATTTTCAACAGCTGCAAGAGAACAAAGACATTACCATTACTAAAAAAAAAAAAAGTTTAAAAGACAAGTTTTTTGTTAGTTTTTCACTGCAATATTGTGTGTGCACCCACCAAATTCAAATATATTATCATGTGACTAAATTACATTGATTAGTTTGGTGGTCTAAACTCAAATTCATTTAGCATATACTTTTAATCTCTATGCACATTCAAATTAAATCAACACTTACTGAACATTTACTATGTTTAAGGCACCATGCTAGGCACTGAGACATACAAAGAACAAAATGAAAAGTGGTTTCTGTCCACAATAGCGGATACAACATATAAAACATAAGATAAAATGAAGAAAGGGTTAGTACCAATGATTTAGGAGGATCACAGAAAATAAGTATTTTGGAAAGTTTTTGTTGTTCAGTCATTTTCAATTGTGTCTGACTCTTCATGGCCTCATTTGGCAAAAATATCATTTCATTATCCAGCTCATTTTACAGATGAGGAAACTGAGGCAAACTGGGCTAAGTGACTTGCCCAGGGTCACATGGCTAGTAAGTTTCTGAGGCCATATGAAAGCATTTTGGATAGTATAAAGCTTAATTTAAAAGTAGTCTTATAATTTTAACTCATGACCTGAAAACCTTTCTCTTTCAACTCTGGGCTTACACAGACCCAGACATATATTGGAGATGTCCTACAAATCATTCTCTTTGCCTTGTGTCCATACTCAAAGTTCCTCCTGGGAACATCAAGAAATGGCTCAGGTATAGGTCTAGTACTAATGAAGGCTGAAGTCAATGTTTGCTCATCTACATTGTTGTCCTGTACCTCGATGTTCCTCAACTCCAGTTCCTGCTTGGTTCAAGAACTCAGAGTTGTCTGGGAACTCCTCTTCTCTCTAGATGGATTTGGTTTTCCAATAAGTAGCTTCTCATCCAAGAATTCCTTCATGGTCTCTCCAAGCTGCTGCCATATGCAGGGCAGAGTTAGGTAAGAAGGTTGTACCAATAAGCTGACTTCCCTTTCTTCCTCTTATCCAGGGACCTAAGCAAGCTCTTTGTGTGGAGCCCCTCTCCTATGTGCATCTTTCAGTTATGATTTTCAATACTGTCTTTTAAAAAATCAAGGAGAAAATGGAGACTAGGGCATCTGTAAGTTCGTTTCTTTCCTAATTCTCTTTACGTCATTTTCTATTCATTTCCAATAACTGGATTTAATTAATGGTTTAAATCTTGTTGATTTGATGTTTTTATATTAATAATTACATTTTATTTTTTAATTTTTTTTATAACTAAATCATGTGCTTATTTTGACCTATCTTTTTTTTAAAGGCAATTGGGGTTAAGTGACTTGTCCAGAGTCACACAGCTAGTAAGAATAATTACATTTTAGCACAATAGTCAATAATTAATGAAGAAAAAGCTAATGATGATGTATCATGAAGACTAAAGTTCTGATAATATAACCATTTTATCAAAGATAGAATGTTTACAAAATAAAGAGGATAAATAATGCTACAAAAGCTACTTTAAAATTAATCACATTTATAAGAAACATATTCATTGCACAACAGCAACTCAAGCACAAATGAAAAATACAGTAAAACTTATCCAATTCAAAAAAAAGTAGATAAGCCTTAGCTGAGTTAAGGATGTTTACAAAGTAGTTCTGATCACCACCAAACATGCAATAACTTGAAATAATGATGACAAAAATACACTGAAACCACTCACCCTGAAAGACAGCACATCCTTTCTCCATTACTGGCTATTCATTTTCCTATACTACCAGAATCAGAAGACCTAGAGCAGAAATTCACCCACATCTTGCTTTCCATTGCCACTTCAATACTACTACTATCACTCAACAGCCTCACTTCCTTTAAAGATTATAACTTTGAATTACATCTGAATGCTGCCACTGTAGGATGCTGCTCTCAGCTGTCAAAATCACTTTTTTCTAAACTAGTGATCTGTCCATATTGTCCTGCTATTTAATAAACTCCAGTAGCTTCCCATTACCACCAGGAGCAAATATCCTCTACTTGACATTTAAAGTTCTTCATTAACCTGGCCCCTTCCTACATTTCCCATCTTCTTTCACTACAATCTAACAACACTGGTCTACCTGTTGTTCCTCCAACATCATACTCCATCTCCCATGAAATGCTGTCTTCTTACCATTGCCTCTTAACTTCTTTGGCTTCTGTCAAGATTCAGCTCCAATACCACCTTCTGCAGGATATCATTCTCAGTCCCCCTAGCTGCTAGTTCCTTTTCCTCTGAGATTACTTTCCAAATATCTGTATCTATCTAGGTGGATAGAGAGATACATACATACAGACAGACATACATACAGATAGATATAGATATCTATGTACACAAATAGATATCTATATACATATGTATGTAGATAACAATGTATATGCACATACATTTTGTAAGTACTTAATTATTTATGTGTTATCTCCATCCTTTTGTCACCTCCCCAATGGAATGGACTGTTTTTGTCTTTTTGTACCCCCAGTGCTCAGTACAGTGTCTGGTACATAGTGTTCAACAAATGTTTTGTTGACACACTCTCCTATCTTCTTCAATTATTTCAGCAATTGGCCTATAGTCTTCCTCTCCACCTCAACCTTTGCAATTGTTATGAGTGACTTCTATATTCACACCAATGACCCTAATTTCTGCAGTTTCATTTTATCAACCTACTTAACTTCCATGACATCTGTCTCCACTCTACTTCAGGTAGAACTCAGATTCCTATAAGTACCTTAATCTTTATGATCACTTGAAACTATTCTACCTCCAAGATCTAGAACTCCGAAATCTCCCTCTTTGATCACAAACTCCTATCTTCTTTTTTTAATAGTATTTTATTTTTTCCCCAATTACATGTCAAGAAAATTTTTAGCATTAATTTTTACAAGGTTTTGAGTTCCAAATTTTTTCTCCCTTCCTCTGAAGGGAGATTGTAGTCTTCTGAAAATTGTAGTCAGTTTGATATAATTTATATATGTGCTATCATGTAAAAATATTTCCATATCAGTCACAGTTGTGAAAGAAGAAAAAGATCAAAAGGAAAAAAAACATGAGAAAGAATAAAGTAAGTGAAAAAATATGCTTTGATCTGCATTCAGAGTCCATCAGTTCTTTATCTGAATACGGATGGCATTTTCCTTCTCTGTGAGTCTTTTGCACTTGTCTTGGATCACTGTGTTGCTGAGAAGAGCTGAGTTATTCATAGTTGATCATCGCACTATGGGGCTGTTACTGGGTACTGTCTCCTACTTCTGCTCACTTCACTCAGTATCAGTTCATACAAATCTTTCCAGATTTTTCTGAAATCTGCCTGTTCATCATTTCTTATTGTACAATAGTATTCCATTACATTCATATGCTACAGCTTGTTCAGCCAACCCCAATTGATGGGCATCTCCTTAGTTTCCAATATTTTGTTACCACAAAAAGGGCTACTATAAATATTTTTGCACGTGTGGGTCCTTTTCCCTTTTTTATGATCTCTTTGGATCACAGAACTATAGTGGTGTTGTTGAATCAAAGAGTGTGCAGTTTGATTGCCCTTTGGGCATAATTCCAAATTGCTCTCCAGAATGGTTGGATCAGTTCACAACTCTACCAACAGTGCATTAGTGTTCCAATTTTCCCACATCTTCTCCAACATTTATCATTTTCCTTTTCTGTCGTATTAGCCAATCTGATAGGTATGAGATGGTCCCAAACTCTTATCTTCTATTTCTTCTGCTTCCGCATTCCTTCTTTATCTGTTCTTTACCCTTATCATAACCTTCAGTCTCTCATTTTTTCCAGACTATCAAAACCCAATTCTGACTTTATTTTCCCTCTATTAGGTCATGACCTTATGGCTTAGGCATCTTATGGCATTAGGCATAATGCCTTCTACTTCACCCTTGAATCCTTTATACTCTTGACTTTCTACCATTCCAATTCAGGTAACTTTAAACCTTGAATAACTCCTAATATCCACCTCTTCCTCTCCTACTACAGAAAGGCCTAACATTGCTGAAGGAAATCAGGAAACTGTCCTGACTGGGTCTACTACAAATTTAAGATATTTAACCTCTACTGACCCTTACTACTGCAAACTATCCTCTGATTAATCCTTTACAGACTACCATTGGTCAATAGGAGGTAAATACAGTCAATAATTTATTAGCCTGCAAATTCCTTAAGAGCAGGCCCTTTGCATTATCAACTTAGCACAGTGACTACCACACAGTAGGGAAGGTATCTGGCACATAGTAGGCACTCAATAAATGTCTGCTCTTATATTTTTACATTTCTTACAATAGCTGTTCCAAACTTTCTCTTCTCTCTAAACCAATACCACCTGCCATCTTCTTCCCTCAGCAGAAGACATGACCTACTACTTTACAAAAATGACTGATGACTCAACTCCCTCAACTCCCCCTCCCTCTATTCCTCTAAATCTCTTAGTGTCTTTACCCATCATCTCCATCCTTCCCACTATATCAATATAAAGCCAACCTAATTTTTGATAAACAAATAAACATGTTTCACACACTCTTACCAACAAAATGCCAAGAAAATTGCAGAATCAAAGAACCTAGTTTTTAAGATTACTAAGTTGGCAATGATGACATTTAAAACAGTGTAAAGACAGTCTATTTTTCATGAGATGACCTTATTAAAAAACTATTAAGTAAGGCATGTAAGTTATTCACAGAGGAAAAATACCTTCCCTCAATAACACCATAACAGCCACTTTAAACCACCAGATATATGCAAGTCTTCTCTAACAATATTTTTCATAGATCATGAAGTGAAACAAAAATAGGAACAGATACGACATTGGAAATTCTTGCTAATAATTTTAAAATATCAAAGAATTTAATGGCCAATGATAGAGAATCAATATAGTTTTAAAAAGCATTTAGGGGTACAAATCTACCTCAATTCACTAGGATATTATCTCAGTTTCATCATTTGGAACAAAATAGCATTGTGCAATTTTTAAAAATTGGATTTGTGGCTAAAGTAGCTGGGAGCTAGTTTGGAAACTATAAGCAATGTTGTGTGTTGGAAAGAGTGCATGATTTAGAGTAATACAGAATAAATAAAATAGAGAACTACAGTCCTCAAGGAACTTAGAGAAATTAAATATAAATAGGAGGTATGACCTAATTTCACTTACAAAGCAACCTATCAGTCAGCCAATCAATCAATAAACATTTATTAAATGTCTACCATGTTCCAGGCACTATTCTAAGCACTGAAGACACAAATTTTAAAAATTAAATAAAAGACAGCCCCTGCCTTCAAGGAGCGTATAATCTAATGTGGAAGACAACACACAAAAGGAAGCTGAAAAGATGGGAAGAAGGGAACAAGAAGGAGAAGGTACCTGGCACAGTGGTATAATTGAGAGGTCCAAAGTAATGCAGCTGGGTGAGAAATGAAGAGATGCCTGGCCTGGGCATCTTCCTTAAATATAGGCTTGCAGAGGAGTTCTTCACTCTGCCTTCCAATCAGAGGAAACACAGGTCAAAGGGTACTGATGAAGCATGAGTACCAAGGCTAACAAAATCTTGCAGGATAATGAGGTTCCTATTGATGAGGTTCCTGGGAACATGATGGAGAAGTCCAAAGGAGGGCAGCCAGGTAGAAACACAAATTAATAGCATCTACCAACTGAGTCAATAAGCTATCCACTTAGTAAGTACGAAGCATACAAAGGTAAGTATTATCTTATCCATGTAGAAATTTTACTTGTTTTCTTATATCTCAACTTAATTATCTATGTTAGTTCTATAGGTTATGTCAGCCTCTACCATCAACCATTTATCTCAAGTCAAAACTGATAAAAATGTACAAAAAATCTCTGCAGGCTGCTCTTTTTAGAAGCCAAAAGACTTATACAAGCCAAAAGTCTATTAAATACCATTCTGAAAATATAACATAAAGACTTCAGGTAAAGATAACACTATTAGCCTTATTTTCTCCACCCACTACCAACAAACTAACTTAATTTTCCTTACATCATATTTTCTCATTACTGCTATTACTAACGATTTAAGACTCATTTCTTCACTGATTTAATTTTGATAATTTAAAAATGCATTTAACAGCACAAATCCCCTCACCAGATTACAGAAACATACTGGGGGATATGTGTCTAAATAAAATACAATAGCTTTGCAGCTGTGCTCATTTCCACCACCCGCTTTCTGCTGAATTCTTTTCAGCACTTTTTATATGCTGCACCCAGCATGGACACCACAAACTAAACTGGTGAGGCCTTCCCTCCCTCTCTTTTATGTTGACTCTGAGAAATGGACGTAGGGGTGTTTGTTTCTGTTCTGTGTTGTTTGTTTGCCCTCAGTTTCAGTTTCATATGCCACATAATCCCCAGAATTGTGGATCAGGACTTCAAGCCATGGTGACACTGGAGCCAAAATTTCCAGCCAGCCCAGCATGCAAGCCTAAGAAGCCAGGGTGCCTGGGACTCAATCCCAAGTGCGGTTTGAGACTTGAAACTGGGATTTTGCTCTACAGGAACCAAGTTCAACTATTAACCTAATCTTCCTCTCCCCAGACACTAAAGTGGTACAGGGAAGAAGAGGGCTCCCATGCGTCGCAAGAGTAAATTTGTATGTTTGTGATTATACCTTTTGAAGTATATATTCCTTGGTAAAAGTTTAAAATAAATGAATGAATGAATGAGATACAATTTATTTTCATAAGAATGCATTTTCTCTCAAAACTACACATGCCTAAACTGTTAAGCTACACATGCAGGCAGTTCTAATACAAGAAACGTTGGAATTTACTCAGTGAGAGTTCTGGCTTTTTGCTGACTGACTAATTATTTAAGCCATTTTCCCTCAGAAAATCAAGTATTAACTCAAAGCATTACATTTATTTTATGTACATACATATACACACACACACACACACACACACACACACACACACACACACACACTCACCCCTCCAGAATTTGTTGGCATGATCTTGAATTGTCATTCAAGACACAGAATAGGGAAGACAGTACTAATTTTGGAGTCCAGGAATCAAAGTTCCAACATCATCTCTGTTATTCACTATACATCAAAAATGTGCTAATAGTTCATTTTCTTGCATCATATCTATAAAACATAGCAAAACCCCAACCAATCAGAATGTTTCAGAAGATGCAAATACTCTGGTTAATTTGAACCATTTTCTCCCATAGTTAAGAAAATGCAGTGGAGTAGGGTGGTGCACAACTGCAACCCCTGCTATTGGAGAGGCTAAGGCTGGGAGAGTTCTTGAGCTCAGGTGTTTTGAGCTGTAGTAGGCTAACTTGATCAGGTGTCTGCACTAAGTCCAGAACCAATATGTGAAGTACCCAGGAGCAGGAAGCCACTAGACAGGACTGGCCCGAGGTTGGAAATGGATCAGATCAAAGCTCCAGTGCCAATCAGTAGCAGGATCAGGCCCGTGAGTAGCCCCCGCATTTCCAGCTTGCAATAGATGAGGAGACAGAGGAGGAGAGGGAAGAAAAAGGGATTGCAACACAGACACTGTCTTCAACAACAATATCCTAAGAATCTACAAGATACATAATTTTTCTTCATGATGTTTCTTCTTCCTAAGGCTTACCCTAACATTCAGTTCTTGGTCCTTCTCTCTTCCCTTTACGCCAATGACATATGTATCTTAATAAGTATATGTGATAACCCTGAAAATGGACTTAGGGTAATTTGGACAAATTCTGAATCAAAAAATTTTAGAAAAAGAAACACTTTTATTATTTTCAAATATGCTAGAAAAATGTCACCTAGTAGAATCCCTTATGGGACTTGCTTTAACTGATAATCTTTTTTAATAACCAGCATATCAAATATTTGCATGTAAATATGTGCTTCTACTTCAATAAATAAAAATATCTATTTCATTGGTATGAGTGCTCCCTCCACTGATGCAGACTACAACCATTCCTTGTCTTATAAGGTTTTATGAGTTGCTTTGGCAGATAGATAGACAGACATATCAAGAACTCAGGATCACCACTTCCATGCCAAGATGAGGCACTAAAATAAGAGTCTGAAGGAGAGTATGTTTCTAAATCACTTGAGAATACTTTGCTCCTTTATATGCCTTAAAAATTCCTTCTGCAGAGGGCAGCTAGGTGGTGTGGTGGATAGAGCACTGGCCCTGGAGTTAGGAGGACCTGAGTTCAAATATGGCCTCAGACACTTGACACTTCCTAGCTGTGTGAACCTGGGCAAGTCACTTAACCCCACTGCCTAGCAAAAAACAAAAAAACAAACCAAACCCCCCCCTCAAAAAAAAAAATTTCCCCTGCAGTATTATTAATACCATTAAATGCTTTTCTCCACAAATAAAGCTCATAACAACATTATCAGAATTTACAGTTGAGGCCTGAATTAATGAAGTTTTATGCAATTAGCTATACAAAGAATGGAGCTATCTGCTATTGAAGCAATATCTGCAGTCTTATTTCACATTACACTCCTACATGCACCATTCCTTCTAGTCAAACTGGCCTGAGAACTGTAATCTGTGCAAACCATTCCAACTTCTACCTTTGTATTCTACTTTGTCTTCTACCTATTAATCTATTTATTTACACATATGTAGTAATATATTATATATAACATATATGAGAGAGAAAGAAAGCTCACTAGACAGACAATAAAATGTGAAGAATGAGGTCGTGCTAATAACTGGGTGGATCAAGAAAGGCTTCATTTGGGAGATGGCACCTGAGTCATGCCTTCAAGAAAGTTAAGGATTCTCTGAAGCTGAGGTGAAGAGGTAGTGAATTCCAGAACGTGGGACCTCTTATGCAAAAGCACAGAGGTATAAAATAGAAAGTTTTAGTCAGTCAACTAATTTTAAGTGCCATCTTTGTGCTAGGTACTGTACTAAGTGCTGGGCATGCAAATAAAGCCAAAAGATAGCCCCTTCTTTCAAGGACCTCACAGCCAATTGGGGTAGGCAACAGGTAAATAACAATGTCCAAGAAAGCTATAGATACAGAATAAATTCAAGATAATTAACAGAGAGAAGACACTAAAATTAAGAGGGATTAGAAAAGACTTCCTGTAGAAAGTAGGATTTTACTTGGGACCTGAAGGAAGCCAGAGAAACCAGGGAAGTCTGGAGGTGGAGATGAGGAGGGAGAAAATTCCAGGCATGGGGGACAGGCAGTGAAAATGCTCCGAATAATGTGCACAGAACAGCAAAGAAGCTAGTATCATTAGATTGTAGTGTGTGCGGTAAGGGAATGGGGGAGGGAGGATGAAAAGTAGAAAAGCAAAGGGAAGAAGGGATTTGAAAGCCCTTCATAATGCATTTTGAATGTCTTTTTTTTTAATAGAGGATTTTATATTTGATACTGGAGGTGACTGAGAGCCAATGGAGTGGGGTTCACATGATAAGAACCATGCTTTAGAAAAAAATCACCTTAGCAGTTGAGTAGTAGATGGTTTGGAAGGGGACAGACTTGAAGCAGGAAGATCAACTAGAAGGTTATTGCAACGAGCCAGGTGACAGATTGGTGATGAGGGCCTGAATTAGAATAATAGCTTATCTGAGTTAAGAGACAGGACATATGAGAGATGTTGTAAAGAGAAGAATGATAAGATTCATCTTAAAAGATAAGGTTGAATTGGATATGTGGGGTGAACATGAGTGATTGGGTCAATGATTATGTAATGCCCTGGTTAGTAAAAGGGAAGTTGGAAAAAGGGGAAGGTTTGGAGGGAATTCTGATCTGGACATGTTGATTTTGACACACCTACAGGTGATCCACTATGAGGTCCAAAAGATCATTGGGGATGCAGGACTACAGCTCAGGAAAGAACGTAGGGCTGGACATATAGTTCTGGAAATCATCTGCACAGAGATGACAACTAAATTCATAGGAGCTAATAAGATCACCCCAATAAAACAGTACAGAGTAGAGATTCTTAACCTTTTTTGTGTCACAGACCCATCTGGCCATCTGGAAGTGTGTAGATCCCTTCTCAGGATGTTCTGAAATGCATCAAATAACATGCATTGGAGTAAAAAGAAAACCAATAATAATGAAACAGTTATTAACATATTTTTTAAAAGTTCATGGTTCTCATGTTAAAAACCAATGGCGGAGAAAGGAAAAGGGAAAAGTCCTAAGACACCCATGTTAGTGAGCATCAATGTGGATGAACACTGAGCAAAGGATAGCATTTAGACTTGTGACTCCCAGGCAAAGACACATATCTACAATTTATTGTCTTAGCAAGCTGCCTAAAAAACAAAGAAGTTAAGTGACTTGCTCAGGGTCAGACTGTCATTATATGCCAGAAGCAGGGCTTGAACCCAGGTCTTCCTGTCTTCAAGACTGGCTCTCTATCTATTATGTTACACTATCTCAGGGCAACTATATTATACTTAAACGACTCATAGAAAATAAAGCAATATGGATATTTAATGCAGGGGTAGGGACCTGTGGCCTCCCTCCAGGTCCTT